GGGTAGCAGAGAGGTCCCACTCTTTTTTTTTTAATTTATTTATTTATTTATTTTTACTTTTTTCAGGTGAGGCAACCCTTGGTTGACCTCAGAGGTTGCAAGGACCTTGTCAGCTTACAATCCTTTATTTTTTTATGTCTACAGCACCTGGTCTTCCTAGGTGGTCTCCCATCCAAGTATTAACCAGGCCCGACCCTCCTTAGTTTCTGAGATCAGCCGAGATCGGGCTTGTTCAGGGTAGCATGGCTGTAGACACCAAATAGGATATTTAAACACATAAAGACTATATGAATCTTTATGATTAGCATACTTGCTTCCTCTATCTATAGCTCTAATTTACTTTTCTATGTTTTTTAATGTATATTTAAATAACTTTGTTGTTAATGACCTCAGTTTTTTTCCAGAGTTGACTATATACCAAATAATTACGGTACAAAAAGTTCCTAGCATAGAGAGTCCAATAGTGCTTCACAATAGCTTTGGCTATGCTTATTGTTATAGTAGTGCACAGTTTACAGCAAGAGCACAGTCCTTTTAGAACATTCTGTTTTCTAAGCAGTTTTCCACCAATGAATAGAGGTGTTTTCTAATGATGTACTTACATTCATTTTCTCACTGTACTTCTGTCCTATACATCCAGGGTTTTGTTTTTTCTGTTCTAAATTATTTTTCTGCTTATTTTCAACGATTCTTTTTCTTCTCATAACAGTCGAATCTTAAACAAATGCCAGCACAATGTCAAAATTTACATCAATTGAATTAGGAGTATATATCCACCACAAACTTCCAAATTACCTTCAAACATTACAGAAAACTCTAAGTTTCATTCAGTCAGTAAACTTTTTTTGAGCTTTTCTTATATGTACTATGCATGGCACAGTTACAATAATGAATTTAAAAAAAATCTCTGCTTTCAAGGGGTTTATAGTTTAGAGCAGTGACCTCCAAAGTGTGGTACAACACCAGAAGGATATGCAAATAAATCACCTCTGTGCAGGAAGAACATATTAGAATTTCACTTTATATTTATTATCTAAAAATTAGAATTTAAATTTATTATGGTAATACAGTTGACTTTTGAACAACCCGGAGAAGTTAGTGGTACTGACCACCCACGCAGTCGAAAATCCCATATAACTTAAATCAGCCTTCAGCATATGAGGATTTCCAGTTGTGAATGGAAAAAATATATATGGTTGACACTGGCACCCTTGTCAGTTATATATTGTACACAGTAAACAAAGTTATCTTGGAGGAAGAGTAGATATTCTAAGTGTGTTTCACTTCCTTCACTGTACTATATTTTATGTGTGCCCTTCTAAATGGATTTATAGATATCTTGTAGTACCTGAATGAGTCCTCACGAAATGAGAAAGAGGCTAAAAAAGAGTTTTGTAGGAATTCCATTGTATGTGTCATGTTTCATTATTTAAGATAAGTGGTGGGTACATGAATATTTATTATGTTATTTTCCTACATCTTTTGTATAACTAAAAACATATTCTTATAAAATCATAGATCAAAGATAATACTAATAAAGAAAACACAAGTAAATAAGAAAGGCAGAACTGACACATCTCTTATTCTTATTACAAACTCTGCTACATAATGACAATGAAGTATAATTATGTTTGTAACAAATTAGAATCACAAATTAAATAATTATCCAAAAAACTATAACAAACTTCAGCCTAAATTCATATTGTACCTGGAGATATTAGCTAATGATGGTATATGAAATAAAGTCATTGTAATTGATAAGATATTTGAAACTAAGCATTCAGAGGATCATTAATAATATATGAGAGAAAAAAGTATTTATACATAATAAATAAAATTATTTTTATAATTTTTAAAGTATATTATTTATAAAATACAAAATTTAAAAACTGTTTTAAAAGTCTGTACTTCACCTTTATCTCCTTTTTAAAAAATTTCTATTTCTGGTTAAGGTGCTTCACGTATATTAACAGTAATACATGTGTATGGCATAGATATATATAATATGTGCTCAAAATTTTTATTAATAGTGGTACAATAAAACCTTTTAGAATCCATTATTTTAGAAGAATTTAAATGGATTATTACAGTAAAATGAATTGTATGTAGAGCTGTAAACAGAATTAAGTAAAAGATCAGAGGCCAGAGTGTCCTTGTAAGAATCAAGAAAGGTTTCACAGAGAAGCTTGGTCTTTAAGGAGGAGTAAGCTCCCAAGTAAAAAGACTCTTTGAGTCAAAAAGAAAATTATGTACAAAGGCACAAAATAATAATAATGAAGTTAAAAAATTTCTTGAGGCTGAAAGGTAAAAAATTCAGTTGGTCTGCAGCATACAGTATGAGTATATGTGTAAGCACACAAACGTCTTGAAAAGTACATGGAAGTGTGTTTGTGTGTGCTTTTGTGATCAAAGTTCAGGTAAGGAGGAAAAAATGAAAATATTTTAGCCCTGAAACTATGTACTGGAGAACATCAATTTGAATATTGAATCTAATTGATGTTACGATAGCTAATATATACATATTTTCTATATACAGCTATACATATATAGTTATGTGCATATAACTCTACATATAAAACTATAACTATATACAACTATATATCATTCTAAATCTGTATAACAACAAAGACACAAAAGCTTTCGATTTTTAAAGTTGGCTAGTAATTGAACATCTGACCTTTTATAGTAAGAAATAATGTAATTCTAGTTATTATTTGTTGAGCATTTATAATTGCCTAGGCATTGTTCTAAAGCTATAGGCACTATCATTTTCACTATTTTTCCAGATAAAGTAAGGTACAAGAGAGGATAAGGAACTTGCTTAAGGTCACAGAGCCAATAAAGAGCAAAGCTGGGATTTAGTTCCAAGCAGTTAAGTCTCTAAAATTTAAAATTCTAGCTCTTACACTTCGTGCTAGTAACTTTTATTCTGATTTGACTGTGTCTCACAGAAAAAAGTACATTTTGCATTGTGACCCAGGATGCATATACAGTTTTGCAAAACATATTTACCCTTACAACATATGATGTCCTCTGGTAGTTTTTATTCTAGAACATTCTGATTCTAAAATTATAGTTCATTAAAAAAATTCTGGTTACCACTCATTAAGTTGATTTCATTATTGACTCAAGAGTATGACCTATAGTTCAAAAAGCACTGCATTATGCTTATTCCCATCCATATGGGTATGCTAATGCTAAAGAAGCTAAATGCTAGATATATTAAATGTTATAGTTTCTAGGGAGATCATTTGGGCAGCAATAAAGTTTCTATATTGTTTTCTATGATTGGAATTGTCTTCTCCTAAATCTTGTAAAGTCCTTCTCTTTGCATTTTTGAAGAACTTTTAAAAATATCATAAATGCAAATTAACTTGGCTATATAACTGCTGCATTAAAAATTTTTACCTCTCTTCAGGCTGTTCATAAATATTCTGAAAGCAAGATTTACCAACACTTTTGTACTTGATTTGTAGCATAATTGTTTTTGTGCCTTATTGTTCTTTGTGTAGATGTTCAGTTTTATGTATTGTAGATTATTGATGCCAGGAATAGATACAGTGTTTAAAACTGTTTATGTACTGTTCCACTTAAATACTTAAATACTATCTAGTAATTAACATAGTATCTGAGAACCTTCATATTTTTATAAAAATAATATAGTTTGTACTGGCATTATCTAGCAAGATTCCTAGGCTCACATGAAAATTCTAGATATGACAGTTTTACTACCAAAACTCAAAATCTATTAATCTTTAGTAAAGTGTTATGTATTTTTAAATTTGTAGTATTTTTAGTTATAAACAAAGGAAAATTGTGGAGACATTCATAGAATTATAGTTTTGGAAGAGATCTTAGAAGTTAACTAGTTCAACCTCTTACTCATAGATCTCAGTTACTCAGATGTGGACATTCAACCTGTGCTTGAATGGTATAGTGATGGGAGCTACTACCCCATTGTCGGTGGTTTTAGCTCAAACCCTTTCTTATGCTGAATTGAAAACATCTTTGAAATTTTTAACCTTCATTTAGCTCTCTTTTCTCCTTCTTCCACACCTTCAAATAAACCTTCAAATATTTGTATTTACTATCATGTGTCTTAGGTGTAGTCTCCTTTAATTGGTCTTCAGACCTAACTCTTCCTTCCATAGTCTTGAGTTACCACAGTATTTTTAGATAGCCCTTAACATATATAGCCTAAAATAATGTAGAGTACAGAAGTACTTCCAAAGATCTGATTATTATTGCCTAAAATTATATTGTTTTAAACAGCTATGGAAAACTTTTTTTAAATTTAGTTTTGTGTGTTTTCTTTTTAAAGAACAATTGTCAAGATGAATATTTTTCTCTTAGAACTGCAACAACAACAACAACAACAACAACAAAACCTAAATACATACAAGCAAGCTGCAAAGGAAAAGACCACATTAAAATCAACTTTTAATCATTAAGAGGAGTGAAACTACAGATCACAAACTGGCAGAAAATATTTGCAACACATATAATTGATACAGAATCACAAAAGATATAAAAAAGTATCAGTAAAGGAAAAAAGAAAACCAAGAGCAGACATTTCACAGAAAAGGAAATGCAATTAAGTGCATAAACATGAAAAATGCTCAATTCATGCAAATTATTATAATTAGACATGGTTTCCCATCCATAAGACTGAAAACATTACACAGCCTGATATCAGAGTTTTGGTGGTATATTGCTCTGGAAAATAATTTGGTATTACCTAGTGAAGTTGAAAATATACATACCCTGTGACTCAGCAAATTGTATATCTGTAGATGTACAAAACTGTTCCTAAAAGCATTATTCATAAAAGCAAGAAACTGAAAGCAACCCAAATGTCCAATAATAGAAGAATGAAAAATTTTTGTATATTAATGTAATATGCAAAATATATTATAATAGAGCAATGAATATGAAGTACAGCTAAACTAATCAAAAAATTAGAAAAACAAAATTGATTGAAAAAAGCAAATCATAGAAGAATATACCCTAAAGATTCCACCAGAAACTACTAGAATTGATAAATGAATTCAGTAAAATACCAGGATACAAAATTAATATTCAGAAATTGGTTGCATTTTTATACACCAATAATAAACTATTAGAAAGAGAAATTAAGAAAACATTCCCATTTACAAGTGCATCAAAAAACCCCGAAACACCTAGCAATAAATTTAACCAAGGAAGCAAAAGACCTGTACTCAAAATTACAAGACATTAAAGAAAGAAATTGAAGAAAATAAACAAATAGAAGCATATACCATGCTCATAAATAGGAGGAGTTAACATGATTAAAATGTCTGTACGACCCAAAGCAATCTACAGATTCAATGCAATCCCTATAAAAACACCAATGGCATTTTTCAGAGAACTAGTACAAATAATCTAAAAATTTATATGGAACCATAAAAGATCCCGAATAGCCATTGTAATCTTGAGAAAGAACAACAAAGTTGGAGGTATCACACTATTTGATATCAAACTATACTATAAGGTTATAGTAAACAAAACAGCATGGTACTAGCAAAAAAACAGACACATAGATCAATGGAACAGAATATGGAGTCCAGAAATAAAACTCACACCTATATGGACAATTAATCTATGACAAAAGAGGCAAAAATATGCAAAGGGTAAAGAGAGTCTCTTCAACAAATGGTGTTGGGAAAACTGGACAGATATATGCAAAAAACTCCA